TCTCAATATTTTTCTCTCTCCAGCTCCTTCCCTAGGACAAGCCAGGGAGGGGTTGGTGGGAGGTGGGACAGGGAGATATAACAAGCAAAGAACCAGCATGTGGAAAAATATTCTTACTTTTCTGAGGAATTAATGAAATCAGTATTTTAAAGTAACAATTGTTTATTAAACCACCCATTTTTGTTTCATTTTTCTCTTTTCCATTTTAGTTAAAACATTCCTAATATGCCAAAGTAGTACACAGTTTTCCCACTGTACCAGTTTATTAACACTATTAATAAACTATATCCTTAAACTTTTCTCTGAACGTTGCCTTTCCCTTCTTGCTCTAACCAAAACCTGGATGAGAAACTGTTTCCCTGCAGGCTTCTCCAGTGGTGGCTGTTTCTCTTCCACACCCCTTGAAGCCAGAGAGGGATGAATATCCTCCTTATTTTCCATTGCCACTTCCAGGCCATTACCCCACCTTCCTCCCTAAAACCTCCTACCTCTGCAGCTCATGCCACTAGCCTATACCACCTGCTGCCATGCTCTGTTGAATTCATCTATAAATGCCCACGTCGTTTCCTCACATTTCTCAAAGATTCAGCACCTAGCTTATTATCACTCTCCAATACTTTTCCTGTCATCATTCTTAAATGATTTCAATACCCACACAAATCATCTTTCCTGTACTTGAATCATCAAGTCATTGACCTCCTCTTCACCAGTGATCTTGTCCTCTACCTCCTTCAGCCACCAACTCCCACATTTAGTCTTACTTGTACCTACATGTCGTCTATAAGTTCAATTTCAAACACCTCATTCTTCACAACTACCACTATTTTTCCAGCTCACTCTCTCCAGTTTCCTTACTCCAAAAATTCCTCAAACTCTCCAGGATCTACCATCCATTGGTCCTATACCTTTCACTTCTCTCACTTCCTTCTTTACTGAACTTAAATTCCATGATTAGTCATTATATAGTAATCTACTTTACAGCGATACTCCTTTAAAGCATTGTCTCTACTCTCTTTTCCCTAATTCCTCTCCTCTCATATTCTCTTAAGCTCACTGAAAACAGGCTGCTATCCCCACTATTCCACCAACACAGGTGTTTTGGTATCTCCAATGAACTCTTTATTATTAAATATAATATCTCATTCCTCCCTTTACTCCCTTTGTTCCAACTGAAACCTGAATGAGAACACATCAGCAGCACCTAATCAGCTCCTTCTTGAAATACTTTCTTCATTGGGCTTCTAGGAATCCAATCTCTCTTACTATCCTCTTACCTCATTGGTCCCTCTTTATTTGTATCTTTGATCAGTCCTTTCTTATCTCCTTGACATGAAAATATTGTAGTGCCCCAACAGACCTCTTTATTTATGCTTATTCCTTAAAGAAATCTGTAGTCTCATAGATTTAAACACAACTTACAAAATGATGATTCCCAAATGTACAGCTTTAGCTCAGACCTCTCTCCAGCATCCAGCTTATTAACTACTTATCCATTCAGAGGTCAATATCTCAAACTTATATGTCCCAAATCAAACCAAACACAATTCATCCTCCATGACTCCCAAAAATCTGCACCTCTCATACATTTCTCTAGCTCAGTAAGTAAAAACTCCATTACTTCCAAAATCCTGGGGCGATCCTCCCTCCTATCTTTCATGTGAGTTATCCAATCCATCAGCAGATCTTATCCATGCTACCTCCACAGTGGTCCAAGCCACCGTGATTTCTCATTAAGATTACTACAAAGGCCTCCTATAGCAAAAACTCTGTGCTAAGTCCTATCAGCCTGCCAGATTCAGCACAGCTGTGGTGGACAGCTCCATTGACGCTGCCAGTGTTCCCACTTCAAGTACACTTTGGAGACTCAGTTTTTCTGTCCCACAATCACAGCTGGCTCATAACAGCAATCTCAAAATGCACAGGAGGTACTGCTTTCAATGGCAACCTTCAAGCAATTGGAGCAGGGATCAGTGGATACATGCCTCAGATCCCTACCTCTGGAGAAATGGAGTTATAGGGAAAGAGAGTCAGAAGGAGTGAAGAAAAAACTCTGCTAACTGGCCTCTTGTTTATAACCCTTGCTCTTCTATAGTCTCCAAACACAAGTCAGAGCATATTACTCCCCTACTTAAGACTATCCAATGCCTCCTCGTTGCCTCTGGATAAAGTCCACAGTGGGGTGTGTGCTATGTGCTTCCCATAAGTATGCTGTTATCCCTATGAACAGCACATATCCCACTCTAAACAGTCTATTCCCTTGTCAGTGCTACCCTACAAATTAAAGTCTAGGGGATGTTTTCAATATAAAGCACAGTGTCTGGCAAATAACAAATACTCAACAAATATTTATATATTGAGTGAACAAATGCCTTTGGAATGCATGATGTAAGGCAATGCTAAGACAAAAATCACCTCCTGCCAGCAATATTAAGTACCAGAACCCCAGGAAGCTTCAGGAATGACACTCCATCAACAACTCACTATGTATGTTCCTATTATTCTGACTCCAAAAAAAAAAAAATCAACCTCTCTAAAATAAACCTCAGTCTCAAAATCAAATAAGTAATAGATGTGGTTTTGCAAGCCATACAAACGTAAGGCATTTTAACATCACATCCCCATGTCTGATTTTCAAAAGCAAAATCTTGATGTAGATCAAAACCTGTAAACTTCTGATGTCTAACAGATACATAACATTACTAGGAGATTTTTGGTATATAATACTCATTTTGTCAGCTCCATAAGAGCAAGGATAATATCTATGTTATGCACCATTATATTATCTAGCCCAATACTAGCTATGAATGGCTCACATTTATTGACTATTTACTATATTAAATGCAAAGTCTTAGCCCTTAACAGGGACTCTCATTTTATCTGCATAAAAATCTAACGTAGCAGATACTTTAATTATATTTTACAGACAAGAAAACAGGCAAAGGAAGGATAACACAAGGTCAGCCAGCTAGGAAGTGGTACAGCTCAGAGTCAACCCCAGGCAGTCTGGTCTCAGACTCTCATTCTTCACCACACTCTCAATGATTGCTAAACTGTCTCTTAGAATCTGGTACTGACTTTCTCAGTGAATGCAAAATAAATGTGTATCTTCCTACTGCTAAATACCTATACTTAACGTTGTATCAGGCACCACATTCCCAGATTCTCAAAAGAATGTAAGTACACCTTGAAAACAAACAACAACTGTCAATCTACCTCTCCTCCAGAACTGACTACCACATCATTTTGCCTACTTTCAGCCTGTTTTATCTCCCTCTTCTTTTCAAACAGCTTCCCCACACTCCAGAAAGCTTCCGTGAATTTTTAGTTTCAAGTTGCAACTGACAGAAGAAAAACACACTTTCATAGCACTGTTTCCTCATACCGTTGAAGAGACACCTCCTAGCTTAATTGTTTCCACTGTGGTCCCTGAATCTTCAACAGCTGCCTTCTTCTCAGGAGGCATGGAGGTGCCAGGTTCTCCAGCTGCTCTTTTATTTCCAATTCCTGACATTTTGGCAGCAGATGACAGCGGTTATCCTGACAGAGAAAAAAAAAAAAAAGGCAGAAACTGACATAATATACGTAAGGAAAGCAACAATAGAGTAAAAACTAGAAATTTTTCTGACCAACCCTTTAACCTGGATCCATTAATTCCACAACTATCTCCATATTCCTCTTGGAGGAAAAAAAAATTAAATTGTAGAGTAAAAATCAAGGCGGGTCGGGCGCGGTGGCTCACGCCTGTAATCCCAGCACTTCGGAAGGCCAAGGTGAGCGGATCACGAGGTCAGGAGATCGAGATCATCCTGGCTAACACGGTGAAACCCCGTCTCTAATAAAAATACCAAAGATTAGCCGAGCGTGGTGGCGGGCGCCTGTAGTCCCAGCTACTCGGGAGGCTGAGGCAGGAGAATGGCGTTAACCCGGGAGTCAGAGCTTGCAATGAGCCGAGATCGCGCCACTGCACTCCAGCCTGGGCGACAGAGCGAGATTCCATCTCAAAAAAAAAAAAAAGTCAAGGCTAAATTTACATGAAAATAAATTTCTAAATAGGATGGTGATAAGAAATGAGACAATGGGCAAAGGGTGAAGAGACCAAAACTAAAGTTCTGGAATCTCCCTTCCTGTAATGCCAAAATCAGAAAAGGGCAGTTTGATTATGCCAGAAGTTAACACTACAGTGTTGGAAGAATCACAGAGCTAAAAGAGATCTGTGAAACGCCTACTCAAGTCATTAATATTAGACAAGTCAGTTATCATCTCTGAGCCTCAGTTTCCTAACCTAGGAATAAATAACCACAGTATACACTTCCTATGCTTATTTTTTTTTTAAAAAAAGGATGATATAATTATAGAAAGAACTTGGCACAATGCCGAACACAAAGTAAGCACTCAGAAACCCCAGCTCTTCTTTTAACCTTTGCAGTGTCTCCCCTATTTCCAAACGCTCTCTCCACTGTTTTGTGCAACCCTACCGAAGTCAGACCTGGGTGTGAATCCCAGTTCTGCCTCTTAGAGGCCGTGTTGCTTTGAAACAGTGAATTCGCCAAGAATTTCAGTTTCCTCAACTGCACAATATTAACGAAAATATTTTTCCTTTGCCCTGCCTACCTCCCAGGGTGCTCAAAGGAGGCGGAATGGATGCTAAAGCACTTTGGCTACTTCAGGAGGCAACCCAGCCATCACCGAGACTAACAAGACTACTCTGCTTTCAATTCAAGCTCCAGAAGAGGACTATCGCTGGCAACAACCTGAGTAGGACCTCGCCTGGAGAGAGAAGTGACAGAAGCAGAACAAGGCTGCAATCCAACTCGCGAAAAGCCAAAGACCTCGGCCTCCGCGTGGATAATTGCAGGCCATGAGACTGACGGCCCCAGAACCGGAGAGGGTGGAGACTCCTGAGGCCCGGCACAGCATGTTGGGCCCCAAGCGGGATCTAACCTAAGTTCTTTGAACTGGCGCTGCGCAGGAATAAAACTCACAGCAGTTACTCACCAAGGCCCGTGCAGCGATTCCAGCGCTCACCCTTGACCCGCGGCGGAGACGGGGCAGAACTTCCGGGAGGCGGGGCCACGGAGAGGAAAAAGGGAAAGAAAAAAGGAAGTCGCTTCAACCCAGCCCACAGGACTATGAGACCCCGCCGGGCGGAAGTGACGTAAGAGGGCTCGAGAAGCTTGAGCAAGCCCCGCCTCTCTAACAACGCTGGGCAAGCGCAGGACCATCTCTTGGCTACTACCTCCAAGAGTATACCCGGGCCTCGCTGATACCCGACGGCGAGCCCTTGACTTTTGTGACTTGTTGACCTTTGCTACTGCGATCTGTTTTTTCTGCTGGGATAAAGTTGCTCATTCTGTTGCTTGTCATTGGGGTTACTATCACTCGTTCAGACGGCCGATTGGCTGATGGTCCCGTCAATCTCCAGGGAAATTACTAGCCTCAGACAACTCAGAAAATTGTTCGTTGGTGCCCCTTCGTGCTGAAATGAAGAGTTCTGGAGAGAATCTGAGGGATTTGAGGAATTTCAGATCTTGGGGATTTTTCCCCCGCACAGGGAACGGTATTCTGCCCTGTCTACACATTAGAATCGCTTTAGGGAGTTTTGGTCCCTCTAGGGTAGGGCCTGGACAAAAGCTTTTTTAAAAAAGCGTTCCCTTCATTTCCTCCTCCCAAACCCCACATTTCCACCCGCTAGATTCTAATGCGTAAACAGGATTGACAACTACTGCTCTTGTGCTTTTTTGGGAACAAGAAATGGTCCAGGAAAAAGATAAACGCCAATTAGTCTCTGATCTCAGTACTAGTCTATTTTAAGCTAATTAAGCATTGATTTTTTTTTTTAAGTTTATGACAAACTGCTATTTTCCATTCAGTTAAGCTAAATGCGCTTTAATGATAGGACGGTAATTAATCTAACCTATTAATGAAAAGCTGTATGCCTCGCAGAACTGTGATAAACTACCTAATGACGTCAGCTAAGGGTCCAGAAATGGAAGAATGATTGCTATATCTTTTTTAAAAAATAGAATTTAGGCATCTTGGGGAAAAAGAACCTAATCTACACTGGATTTCTGGTAGTGTGAAGACTTTTGTCCCTGTACCTGTTGGGGCTTACCTGTAAATGAAGTAAGATGGTCAACACCAGGAAAACAAGTATTCCTGGTGCCTGGCAGTAGAACACCTTGACTATGTTGGAAAGAATTAACTGGCCCCGAGTGGACTTCACATTTCATTCCGTGAAGCGGGAGCCTGAGAGCATGTGAGTGGGGACCCACCTGCCGAAAAGCATTGTATGAGACAATGACACTCATTCTCTCATCTTCCTTGGTTCCTCTACTCTTAGCAAGCCTTTCATTCATAGAACTACTGAATGGCAAGGAATGGTTTCTCTAGCCCAGAGCTTGTAAACTAGAGGTTCACAGACTGCATTTAGCCAACAGTTATGCTTTGTTTATTTTAGACAGTATTGGCTGTCCTGGGTGGTTAAAAACAAGAACAAAAATGAACTTAGTTGCCAACATTTAAAATATGGCTATTTTACATAAAAATACAAATTATCAGTTTCTCTGGAAAATGTTGACGATCTTGCAACAGAAGGGTTATATTTTTGCATGATCACATTGCTTAGAGCAGAGTAGTGGCTTTTTTTTTTTTTTTTTTTTTTCTCGAGACAGAGTCTTACTCGGTTGCCCAGGCTGATAGTGCAGTGGCACGATCTCGGCTCACTGCAAACTCCACCTCACAGGTTCCAGCAATTCCCACGCCTCAGCCTCCCAAGTGGCTGGGACTACAGGCACACGCCACCACACCTGGCTAATTTTTGTGTTTTTAGTAGAGATGGGGTTTCACCATGTTGGCCAGGCTGGTCTCAAACTCCTGACCTCGGGCGATCCACCCACCTCAGCCTCCTAAAGTGCTGGGATTACAGGCGTGAGCCACTGCTACTGGCAATGAGCCATCGCGCTTGGCGTGGCTTCTCTTTTATTAATAGATCGTGTTATTCTTGTTTACCATAATCCCCACTATTCTTTACTGGTTCCTTAGCACTAGTATAGTTTGAGTATCATCACTTGTGTGTTATATTGTGATAAATCAATTGCTGGTACTAGGTAGGTGTCTGGTGGACATTACTGGTGATCTACCCAACATCCATTCACCTTCCCTCACCTTAGCAGAACCAGGATTTTTTTCATGTATCCATGTAGCACTTTGATTCCATAAGTCTTAAGGAAAACTGATTTCACCCCAATCTCCCAGGATTATCTTAAATACTAAGTTCCGTTTCCCAAGCCAAAGTCCTAGTCAGCAATTGACAGTTTAATCAGGGTGAATTTCTTTGAATAGTAGAACTGAAGCAGTTTCTTATCTTCCAGATTTTTTGTGTGAGGCTGAAACTGTTGGAGGCTTCCTGCTACCATTCTTGAGAATGGAGCGACCACACAGAGGTGAGCAGAACAAAGAGAATCTCAGGGAAATGGAGCCACATCAACTGAGTTAGGTCACCCCTAACTTCAACCCACACTTAAGAGTGTTAGAGAAGATTCTATAAAGAAAGCAGACTTTTCTAGTACCTTTCAATTCTTACCATGCAGGTAACCATATTCTCTAGCAACTGGGATATATGTCTTTCTCAAAAGTTCCAATTATGTAACACCTTCACAAGTGTCACAGCTCTCTAGAAAATAAAATCAACTCTGTGTGTGTGTGTGTGTGTGTGTGTGTGTGTGTGTGTGTGTGTGGAGAGAGAGAGAGAGAGAGATTTGAGAAAGAGAGAGAGAGACACTATAAGGAATTGGCTCACAAGACTGTGGTGGCTGGATAAACCAAAATCCACAAAGCAGGGTTGCAACCTGGAGCCCCAGGAAAGATTTGCAGTTTGAGTCTAAAGGCAGTCTGCTGGCAGAATTCCTTCTTGCTCAGGGGAGGTTAGTCTTTGTTCTGTCAAGGCCCTCAACTGATTGGATGAGGTCTACCTACATTTTGGAGAGTAATCTGCTTTAGTCTACCAATTTAAATATCAATCTCATCCAAAAAAATCCACATTCACAGAATCATCCAGAATAATGTTTCACCAACTATTTGGGCACAGTGGCCCAGCAAAGTTGCCACATAAAATTAACCATCATAGTAGGTAACCATATTCTGCAGCTACTGGTGAGATCTGTCTTTTCTGAAAGCCTCAGTCAGCCATCTGACATCTTCACAGTAGCCTGTCTCATTCTAGAGAATTGGGAAAATAGATGAAGAGGAGGATAGCAGAGATCTCTCTCATTGAACACATTCCCCATTCATTTCTGACCAGCCACTTCTGACTGACCACTTCTGACCATTCACTTCTGTTCACCATCTTAATCAAGAGAAAAAGGAATATCCCTGGAAAAATAAGTTTTTCCCTCACTTATAAATGGGAAAACAGCATTAGCAATGATAAAAAGAATACTTAATATTTTATTTCACTTTTAAAGTCTCATTGATTGTATCAAAAACACAATTTAAGCAAATAGTAATCTTTTCTAAAATGAGAAAACAGACTCAGATTTTAAGTGATTTTTTTTTCAAATGATTTAATGAGTAGTTGTTGAAGGACCTAAGTCATTTGACTTCCAGCCAGTCTTCATTAACTACCCAGTTCTGCCACCAGGTGGCATAAGGCAACACGCCTCCTTCCCCAGTTCCCCTCCTAAAGCTTTGGTTGCAGAGTACTACGCATCAGTCATGCCCTGTCTTCACCTTAACTCTTAGAAACCTGGACAACTCCTGAGGGTAGGCTTAATGCTCTCAAAATGAACAAAATTCAGATATTTTGGATTTTTGTTTATTTTTTTTCTACACTCGTTAAAAATGTTTTGTTCTAAGATTGTTATATCTCCATGCATTCCAATATTCCATGAACTCTGGATTGGATTGTGTGCCAGACATAATTTAGGAACTCCCTTATTTTAAACAAGTTGTATTTTATTTAGCATGATATCACTTGTTTAACAGAAACATTTAGATACCATAGCCCTTGCTTTAGACTTGCTGAATGAGAATTTCCAGGGGAAAGCTCTCTAAAAATGCAAGTTCTTACTTTTGTAATTATACTTCCTATCTGGGCACGTTTAAGGAACGCTGCTCTAGGTAGTGATGTCCAGGTCCACCTGAGAGTGTTCTACAAAACCAAGCCCCCTCCTCTTGTCCTCAGCTTTCCCTTCTCCTACCATTCACCCCCACCACACCTTTCTCCTTCATTTCCATACCCCTGCCTCCTTCTCCCCAGATCACCTGGCCCACTATGCTACATCATGCTCAGCCCTCTTACTTTGCAATTTCTGGAGACCAGGGAGGTGGCTTACTCAGGGGAGCTAGAGCCAGGTCTCTCTTTTTTAAAGAGTGAGGACAAGATGTCCTAGCAGTCTATGGAAACATAAGAGCTAATTGGTAGTCACAGATTGTCAGAGGAGCCCCATTTAGTTTAATGCTCTCTTAAAAAGCTGAGAGAAGGCCAGATGCGGTGGCTCATGCCTGTAATCCCAGCACTTTAGGAGGCCAAGGTGGGTGGATCACCTGAGGTCAGGAGTTCAAGACCAGCCTGGCCAACGTGGTGAAACCCCGTCTCTACTAAAAATACAAAATTAGCTGGGCATGGTGGTGGTTGGCTGTAATTCCAGCTACTCAGGAGGCTGAGGCAGGAGAATCACTTGAACCTGGGAGGCGGAGGTTGCAGTGAGCCGAGATCGCACCATTGCACTCCAACCTGGGCAAAAGGAGTGAAACTCCATCTCAGGAAAACAAAACAGCAAAAAAAAGCTGAGAGACACCATGCAGCTATAAAAAAGAATGAGAGCATGTCATTTGCAGGGACATGGATGCAAGTGGAGGCCATTATCCTTAGTAAACTAACACAGGAACAGAAAACCACACGTTCTCCCTTATAAATAGGAACTAAATGATGAGAACACATGGACACAGAGAGAGGAACAACACAAACCAGGGCCTAGTGAAGGGTGGGAGGAGGGAGAGAATCAGAAAAACAACTAATGAGTACTAGGCTTAATATCTGGATGATCAAATAGTCTGTACAACAAACCCCCATGACAAATTTACCTATGTAACAAACAGCACATGTGCCTCCGAACTTAAAAAAAAAAAAAGCTGAGAAGTATCTACGTTACAATCATAGAATTGGTCTTTTATGTCCTTATGCCCAGCCATGTGACAGTCTATGTTTGGGTTTCTGATATTTTTATCATTTGTATTTCTATTATGCTTTTGTGCTGGCTATGATTCCTTCATTAGAGGATGAGAATTTGGAAAGCAGAAACCAGGTTGTCTTTGTGAATTTTCACAGGTAGGTCTACTCTTCCATATTACTGTTACTGTGCAACTAGAAACCCACCTGACCTTGGAGGAGAAAGAACAGCATCACTGAAATGCTTACATCAGGCATTGGGGATGGGAGTACAGCAAGTAATTACAAAGGTAAGATATGGAATTTCCATTTCCAGAAGCAGGGCATGACCATCTTTCAGAAAACAAGCTGAGGAGTAAAACTGGATTTCAACTGAGGGCATTTGTCAAACTAGGTAAAGGAGAATTTAGGTTTTCATGGCCTTGGTAGGCAAGCAGGACAGGAGACAAAGCCCAAGGACTATTACTATTGGGTGCATATTAGAGACCCCTCCCCATACAAGCAAGGTAGAAACAACTACTTCCAACTGACAGAAAATTGCCTGTCTCAAACTTTGGTATAAATATTTTTGATGACTGATACAGAATTCTAGAAGGCACTTAAAAAGAGTTTCCAGAAATGTGGAGAAATAGACGAAGGGCACAAAGAGGCCAGGGCGGTGCCTATGATCTCACTTTTACTTTTAAAACTTAAAAAATGCAATAAATCTTATACTAACCCTGGGTACTTGTGTTTATTTAGTACAAATCTGAGTACAGATTTTGGGGCAACGGTACCTAATTAGGCACACCCAGGCACATCCTGACTTACTCCTGGAGCTTATAGGAGTTCCAAGAAAATCCACATGGATAGAGATTGAGCGTCTTTCCCAATGGGCAGTCAAGAGCAATGAGATGGATCACTAAATTCCAAAGAATCTATGTCATGCCGTATACACATAGCAAGGAGGGCCTTAATATTAGCAAAACAACATCAAGTGTCACACTAAATAAATGTTGTTAACTTTAAGTTTACTCAGCTCTGTAGCCTTGTTTATATTTAATTTGTAAGTATATTTTTGTTTGTAAGCTGTATAAGCATAAGGCATGCATACCAAGTTTATATTTATACATTTTAACATTACAATTAAAATATTTTAAGTAAACACTAAGTGGCCCATGAGAAAATCATTTTCCTTTAAAGAGGGGTCTGTATATTAAGTTTGTAAAGTATTTATTACTTACTTGTGTATCTACTGTCTTTTGTGGTTCATAATTATGTCAAGTCTTTTCTTTTAAATTATTCCAGGATCAATAAGAGAGAATTGATATCAATATAACGGATACAGCATATCAATTTAAACATGTATTGACTCCAGCAACTACATGTATCAAGATACGAATTTCCGGTGCCCAAAGGCATGTGGCCAAATTCAGTTAAAAGGAGGTCTTACAGCAGTAGTATACAACCAGGAATCCACAAATGTTCAGAATCTTGCCTCATCAGCACCCCTTTCCCGCCTCAGAAGAAAGAATAAGCCTGATTACATTGATGACTAATGCAGTTACCTAGAGAGTTATGAATTCTCCAGAGACTGCCTCCAGCCTCTCAGCTCTTGTAAAGCCCTTCCAGGTGGGGCTGCCATCCTCGTCAACCCTGCGATACTTCTAGCACTCAGCCAACTCTCTTCTCACTGTCACAACTTCAGGAAACACTTTGATCTTAAATATGCACATGCTGATATATAGTGAATTCAAGCTTCATCTTTATTGCAGAATGACGGTAGTATCTCCTCCCAAAGGCATTTATAAAACAGGAGACACATGAGTTAATCTGGAACAAGTGGAAAGAAGTTCAGGGTTTCCTGACATCCCTTCCCTGTTCTTCCTCCCAAGCATAGTTCTGGTTGGTAACATTTATGTTGGAAAAATGGAATAAGTCACTATGCTTCACTTATTGAACTAAAACTTCAAATTACAATTTATGCACTAGCCTAGAAGCTGGATTCATTTGCAACATGAATAAGGTTTTAAAAGTAACTGGGGCCGGGCGCAGTGGCTCATGCCTATAATTCCAGGACTTCGGAAGGTCAAGGTGGGTGATCACCTGAGGTCAGGAGTTCAAGACCAGCCTGGCCAACATGGTGAAACCCCTTCTCTACTAAAAATACAAGATTAGCCAGGCATGGTGGTGCACACCTGTAGTCTCAGCTACTTGGGAGGCTGAGGCAGGAGAATCACTTGAACCCAGGAGGCAGAGGTTGCAGTGAGCCAAGATCATGCCACGGCTCTCCAGCGTGGGCGAGGGAGTCAGATGCCATCTCACAAATAAATAATAAAAATTAATTTAAAAAAATAAAAGTACTGGATGCCAGGGTAATAGGGATTTCAAAAGTATAGAGAGAAGACACTTTTAATTGACTACGTCCAAACCATGCAGCAAATTTTGACACTGCATTGACATTTCAAATATTCAGTTAACCTTGAAGACTATTCCCTTTCTCTTTTTCTTATTTGTGCTTGCTTTTATTAATAATCTAATAATTAGGTGGGTAGCCAGTTACAACAGAGTGTTGGCCAAGCCTAACGAGATGAGTGTGTTTGAAATGTGATCTTAACATTTAGAAGAACAGCAAAGAGATGTGTTGTTTCAAGCTGTTAAATGCTAAAATATGTGAAGTACTGAACATCTTGTTTTGTATTTTTTTCTTCTTATGAAAACTGTCCTTTTATAAATAAATGTCAATTTGTACCAGAAGCCTAAAATATGTCATACCCAATGATTCAGCTATTCCAGGTTTGATTATACGCTTGAAAAAAATAGAATCACATACTTGTTTAAATATCACCATACAAAAATATTTATCATAGCATTATTTATTGCTTAAAATTTTTAGAATCAATTTAAATAAATCATGAAATGTCCTCAAATATAGAATTCTATGTAGTCATTAAAGTTGTGATATAGATTTGTATTTCTTAACATTGAAATATAAAAATATGTTGTTGAATGGGATAAGTAGGTTTCAGGAATATATGCATAACATTTATTTTCTCTCTTTCTCTCTCTCTTTTTTTTTTTTTTTTTTTTTTTTGAGACAGAGTCTTGCTCTGTTGCCCAGGCTGGAGTGCAATGGTGTAATCTTGGTGCACTGCAAGCTCCACCTCCTGGGTTCAAGTGAGTCTCCCTGCCTCAGCTTCCTGAGTAGCTGAGATTACAGGTGCCTGCCACCACACCCAGCTAATTTTTGTATTTTTAGTAGAGACGGGGTTTCACCATGTTGGCCAGGCTGGTCTTGAACTCCTGACCTCAGGCCATCTGCCCACCTCCGCCTCCCCAAGTGCTGGGATTACAGGCGTGAGCCACTGCGCCGGCCAACATTTATTTTCATAAGAAATAAAAAACATTTCAAACCAATGTATTACCAATTTTAGACGTACGAAAATTGTCTCGACTTGTAATCTTTGCTTCCTCATCTCCTATTCACTCTATTCTCTAAATGAAATATTTCATCAACTATTTACATGTAAATAAATATGAAGGGGGTTTAATATGTAAACTAAATAGCAATCACAAACCTAGCTATTTAAAGAGAGGGCTTACTGCAGAAAGCAGTTTGGAGATTTCTCAAAGAACTTGAAAAACAACTGTTTCACCCAGTACTCCCATTACTGGGAATATACCCAAAGGAAAACAAATTGTTCTCCCAAAAAGACATGCACTCGTATGTTCACTGGTGCACAATTCACAATAGCAAAGACATGGAATCAACCCAGGTGATCATGAATGAAGGACTGGAGACAGCAATCATCATGGCAGATGGGAGGCAGGACTAGATTGCAGCTCCGGGCGGAGCAGCGTGTGGGGGCTCGCATTATGAATTTTAGCTCCAGATCGACTATAAGAACAAACCAGCAATCCCAAGAGGACCCACAGACCCTCTGAAGGAAGCGGGCTACTCCTGCAGGACCCAGGAGAGCCCCCTAAAACTGTGAGTGCCCCAACAGTGGAGGTGAGAAAGGGAGACCCTCTTCTCCCGAACACACACCCCCACTGGAGAAGCTGAAAGTCTGTTCGTGGAAGAAGTTTCTGACTTTACCTGGAGCTGAGTCAAGCTAGCCGAGTGAAATACAGGGGTAGAGGAAGCAGCAGTAAGGCCCTGGGAGCTCACTGGGTCCCTAAGCAGCCCATTCCTGCCTGGTACCACAGGGATCCATCGGGAGGGTAGACAGAGGAGCAAGGAGTAAAACTGCACAGGGAGAAGGAAATCTCTAGCTGAACTTTGTAACAATTTGAATGGGGTGAGAAGCCTCCTGGCCAGAACTCAGGGGAGGGCAAATCTGGTGTGCAGACTCCACAGGCTGGGAAGGAACCAAGCCCTTTTCTTTCACAGCTGGGAAGTAGATAGCCTGGGGCAGGTTTTCAAGCCATCTAGCCCTCCACCTGGAAACAGACTGGGGCTGTTGGCAGGGGACACGGTGGGAGTGAGACCTGTCCTTCGGTTTGCATGGGAACTGGGTGAGGCCTGTGACTGCTGGCTTACCCCCACTTCCCTGACAACCTGCATGACTCAGCAGAGGCATCCATAATCCTCATAGGTACATAACTCCACTGATCTAGTGTGCTAAGGACCCTCACGGAGTCCACTGCACACCCGCCCCCCCCAACCTCTACCAGAAAAGGTACTAACATCCATAGATGAGAGACCCATAGACGGTTCACATCACAGCACTCTGTGCAGACAACTCCAAGTTCTACCAGCCGGGAGCCGGGTAGACTTGCTAGGTGCCTAGACCCAGAAGAGAGATAACAATCACTGCAGTTCAGCTCACAGGAAGCCACATCCATAGGAAAAGGGGGAGAGTACTACATCAAGGGAACACTCCATGAGACAAAAGAATCTGAACGACAGCCTTCCACCCTAGACCTTGCCTCTGACAGAGCCTACCCAAGTGAGAAGGAACCAGAAAACCAACCCTGGTAATATGACAGAACAAGGCTCTTCAACACTCCCCCCCAAAAAATCACACTAGTTCACCAGCAGTGGATCCAAACCAAGAAATTCCTGATTTACCTAAAAAAGAATTCAGGAGGTTAGTTATTAAGCTTATCAGGGAGGCACCAGAGAAAGGCGAAGCCCAATGCAAGGAAATTCAAAAAAATTATACAAGAAGTGAAGGGAGAAATATTCAAGGAAATAGATAGCTTAAAGAAAAAAAGCAATGAAAAATTCAGGAAACTTTGGACACATTTTTAGAAATGCGAAATACTCTGGAAAGTCTCATCAATAGAATTGAACCAAGTAGAAGAAAGAAACTTAGAACTCAAAGACGAGGTGTTCAAATTAACCCAATCCAACAAAGACAAAGAAAAAAGAAAAAGAAAATATGAAGAAAGCCTCCAAGAAGTCTGGAATTATGTCAAATGGCCAAAACTCAGAATGAATAATCAGTGTTCCTGAGGAAGAAGAGAATTTTAAAAGCTTGGAAAATATATTTGGGAGTATCAAGGAAAACTTTCCTGGCCTTGCTAGAGACCCAGACATCCAAATACAAGAAGCACAAGAGCACCCAAGAAATTCGTTGCAAGAAGTTCTTCACCTAGGCACATTGTCATCAGGTTATCCAAAGTTAAGACAAAGGAAAGAATCTTAAGAGCTGTGAGGCAGTAGCACCAGGTAACCTATAAAGGAAAACCTATCAAATTAACAGCAGATTTCTCAGCAGAAATCCTACAAAGCTAGAAGGATCTGGGGCCTTATGTTCAGCCTCCTCAAACAAAATACTTTTCAGCCAAGAATTTTGTATTGGGTGAAACTAAGCATCATATATGAAGGAAAGATACAGTCTTTTTCAGACAAAAAAATGCTGAGAGAATTTGCCATTACCAAGCCACCACTGCAAGAACTGCTAAAAGGAGCTCTAAATCTTGAAAAACTTCTGGAAACACATCAAAACAGAACCTCTTTAAAGCATAAATTACACAGGACCTATAAAACAAAAATACAAGTTGAAAAGCAAAAATAAAGCACACGCAAAAACAAAGTACAGAGGCAACAAAGAACATGATAAATGCAACGGTACCTCACATTTCAATACTATTATTGAATGTAAATAATGCTCCACTTAAAAGATACAGAACTGCAGAATGGATAAGAACTCACCAACCCACTATCTGCTGCCTTAGGAGACTCAACTTAGACATAAGGACTCAGATAAACTTAAAGTAAAAGGGTGGAAAAAGGCATTTCATGCAAATGGACAGCAAAAGCGAGCAGGGGTAGCTATTCTTACATCAGACAAAACAAACTTTAAAGCAACAGCAGTTAAAAGAAACAATGAGGGACATTATATAATGGTAAAAGGCCTTGTCCAACAGGAAAATATCACAGTCCTAAACATGCATGCACCTAACAATGGAGCTCCCAAATTTATTAAAAAATTACTAATAGACCTAAGAAATGAAATACACAGCAACATAATAATAGTAGGGGACTTCAATACTCCACTGACAGCACTAGACAGGTCATCAAGACAGAAAGTCAACAAAGAAACAATGGATTCAAACTATGCCTAGGAACAAATGGACTTAACAGATATATACAGAGCATTTCATCCAACAACCGGAGAATACACATTCTATTCAACAGTGCACGGAATTTTCTCCAAGATAGACTATATGATAGATCACAAAATGAGCCTCGATAAATTTAAAAATATTGAAATTATATCAAGCACTCTCTCAGAGACTCAATAAATTTAAGAAAATTGAAATTATATCAAGCACTCTCTCAGACCACAGTGGAATAAAACTGGACATCAACTCCAAAAGGAACCTTCGAAACCATGCAAATACATGGAAATTAAATCACCTACCCCTGAATGAGCTTTGGGTCAAAAATGAAATCAAGATGGAAATTTAAAAATTATTTGAAATGAAGGACAATAATGACACAACCTATCAAAACTACTGAGATCCAGCAAAGAAAGTGGTAAGAGGAAAGTTCATAGCTCTAAACACCTACGTCAAAAAGACTGAAAGAGTGCAAACAGACACTCTGAGGTCACACCTCAAGGAGCTAAGAAACAAGAAC